GTTGTTCCAGCTGTTGCTGCATGCTGTGGGTGGGGGTTGTGGGGCGAGGGGCCATGGCGACGAGTCGACAGAGTCAGTGGGCTTCGCTTGCGATCCGATTGGTCTCTACGCGTGGTTCAACAGCCTCGTGCTGATGCGCTCGAAGTCCTGCCCGGGATGTCCTGCCTCCGATTCCTCTTTCTTCCGGGGCAGCCGCTGACAAGCGAGGACGGTCGAGCTTTTGCGCCTTCCTGTTTCAATGTGCCCGCGCGTCGGGGCGGGCCGCCTCCTCAAGCTAGGGCGACGTGCGCACCCGCGCTGGATCCGATCAGCTTTTCCTGCGCGGGGGGGGCATCGGTGGAGGGCCCCCTGCCGTCGAGCTTGATCAGTGGGCCGACCACGCCAAATCGGGGGTGCCCTTGTGCCCTGTCTGCCCCGACCTATGCAACCCGCATGTCCTTTGGGGCTCTGGGGCCACGCTGCCGTCGGGCGAGTCTTGTGTCCTCCTCGCGCGCCCCTGCCCAGTCAAGTCCGACTGCAGGCTCGTGGGTGGCGCGTGGCGGGCTCAGCCCGCGGGCGGCCTGTGCTTGCTGGAGCCCCGAGGAAATTCTCCTTCGGTGAGCGCGTCATCCTGCCCGGGCAGCGGCCCGAGGGCTGCTTCGTCCTCACCTCTGGCCGGTGCGTGGTCCGCAGCGGGCGCGCGGACATCTCCGCGCCGCTGTGCAAGCTGAGGGCGGGGGACTACTTCGGACAGGGGGCACTGATGGACCCGCTGCTGCCGTGCAGATACGCGTCCCAGGCGCGCGGAGCCACCGACCCATGACCCAGACACCCCCCCATCCACACGGGGAGCGTGGACGGGGCAGTCGGGGTCGGGAGTGGGAGCGGGGGCCACAGAAGGTGACGATCGAGGTCGATAGCACGGTCGCTCACTTCGGCGTCCTGCTCCCGAAGCCGACGACGGCACTGCCAGAGAGCGTCTGCAAGGAGATCCACGAGCTGCTCCGGGACGCGGAGGCCACGGACGTCATCCTGAACGACGGAAGCGGGGCGTTTCGAGCGGAGACGCGGTGGAGGCGGCAGAAGGGGCGCGCCATGGCGGAGGCCTTCCGCTGCTCCCGCACGGCGGCGGCCGAGGGCCTTCGCGCGGAGGACCCCGCGAGGTGCCCCCCGGCAGTCGGCTCTCTCGGGCGCCCTGGCCGGCTTCTTCGCGCGGGCGGCCCTGCCCAGAAGGGACCCGAGTCGCCACACGCACCTGGACGCAATCCCAGGCCTCTCGATCCTCGACCCTCTCGGCCCGTCCCCCCTCCCTCCCTCCCTCCCCCTGGGCCCCAGGGGTCGACCAGAGCACGACGTGAATGGCTCGATCGGATCGCTGCTGGTAGGCAGCCGAAGGTCCTCAGAGAAGCCGAGCAGAAGGCGAGGCGTTCGAGAGCTCTTCCTCAGTCTGGCCATGTTGTCACGTCACTTGGCATTCCGCCGCGGGGTCCACTCCATCTCCTTGCCCGTGCTCCGATCGCCCCCGCGTGGCCGCTGGGCCTGGAGCGCCCAGCGGCCGAAGGGAGCCGTCGGCCAGGGCACCCGGAGGGCCGAGGAGACGCCACGGGCGTCCTCGCGGCGGAGGAGCGGGAGCACAACGCCCTGGCCCGGTGGCGCCGCGGGCAAGTGCTTCTGCGTGCTCGCTGCCCCCCCCCCCTCCCCCCCGAGGGTCGTTTGGCTAGGCATGGGTCGGGTAAACGCAAGATCAAGTCGGGCGTGCCCCTCGACAGGAGGAGTATCAGACAAGTATTTAAACATCAGTATGGGGACGATCTTGTTGTATTTTGAGCCTCTTCTTCGTGTGTGTTGTTGTATAGTTGTGTGTGTATATATACATATACAAATATTGTTTTTCGTTCAAAATCCGCCTATTGGGGGACATGCCCGACCTAAGCTTAAGACTCGAGCACGCCGGAACTCGGATTTGCCGAGGCTTTTTGACGAGCGCGTCTTGGGTTTTGACGGACCAGTTTTTGTGGGCTGTCTGCAGCGGGAGTTCGCGTCAAAGTTTAGAGTGGTCTCGTCGTTTTTATGATGGCCCCGCCAGGCCAACCCGAGTCCTCCGAACCCGAATCTTACGTCTCCCCGAATGAGGGGGGGGTCCAAATCCTGGTCACGCGCTGCGGGCGATGCTGCATCGCTGCGCCATCACCGCTAAGCATGATCAGAAGGGAGGAGTACTCCAGTGGCAGGGGGCGGCGCTTTCGGCATGAGCCCTGCACGAGTTTGACGAGGCGTTGCTCTCGGGGGGCCTACGCGGAGTCATCTTTAAGCCGTCAGTTGCCTCTTGGTGTCATCTTGGTGCCATTTTGCATCCCAGAGCGACCCTTTGCCGTCTTGGATTGGATCGCGCCAAGTAGAGAGCCTCGGGGGCTCCTGAAACGGGACGCTGGACCTCCTAGGGACGGAGAACCAGCGGGAGAGGGACATCCAAACATCTCACACCCAGTCTCCTCCCAGGCATGCTGGGGCAGGCGTACTTTGAGCACGCTTTTCTGAACATCGGAGCGTGCGCCCAGCCATGCCTGGCCCTACATGGTAGGGCCTGGGCCGGTCTTGTTGTGCGCACCCCACCAATACTATTGCTAAGGCCATACGGCCGGTGCCGCCGACCCTGAAGACGACGACGAATTCGAGGAGGAGTAGGAGGAGGAGGAGGAGGAGGAGGAGGAGGAGGAGGAGGAGGAGGAGGAGGAGGGGGAGTAAGGTGGAAGGGAGCGGGAGAAGGCGAAGGGGATGTTCCCCATGTGGGCCGAGGGAGTCGTAGCAGAGACAGACAGGGAGCCTTGTGACCTACAGCCCTTCCCGCCACCGTGCTGGGGTTTTGGTTAAAAGGCCGCTTGGATGTTTTGGGGCCTGTTGGGGCCTCTGTTGGGCCTCGTGGGGGTCTCTTGGGTGTCTCTTCGGGGCCCTTGAGGGGCTCTTGTGGCCTTCTTGGGGCTTCTTGGGGCGAGAAGCTTGAATGTCGGTTCGTGGCCCTCTTCTTGGGCCCTCTTGGCGCGTCTTGGCGCTTTTTTGGGCTCCGGGACGCCCAGGGGCGGATGCGTATCTGACCCCCCCCCCCCCGGGACCCCCCGGGGACACCCCGGGACCCCCGCCCAGACCCCCCCTTCGGCGGGGGAGGGATCAAAGGGAAGGGGCTTCCCTTCGACTTAAGTGCGACGTTGCTACGGTTTTTTCTCCCTGGCAGGTTTGAAGAGGAGGGTGCAGGGAAGGGGACGACGGAGACGCAGGGAAAGAGAACAATGGATGCGCCGACTGAGCGCACGCCGACAGGGGGTCCACACGCCGACAGGGTCGGCGGATTTTGTCCTCCACGCTGCCTGGATGCACGGGCTCAGTTAGCCGATGCAGCCAGGTTCTCATGCGGGGCAGTGGATCAGTGCGTCTTGATACTTCTCGAGTGTTTCACCTGACCCTCAATTCCCTTGCCTCCCGCCCCTCTGCTGCTGCGCGTCGCTTGCCGTCCTTCCTCGCTCCTCCCTGCCGTCTGCTTCCCTCTCCTTGCTTTCGCTGCGCAAGACATATGAAACAGGATGCGCCCGCCACATCCACAGCGACGCCACAGTGCAATAGCCGAATACTTGGTCGTCCTTCTCACACGCATTTCGAATCTACAAGAATTCAAGTTCGTCTGCACCAGCTGTTCGATATCCATTGCTGTTTCAATTGGTTCATGTGTTCTGTTTCAGAACTCTTGTCCGGTGTGTTAAAACCAGGTCTTTTCACAGACCTTGCACTTGATTCGTGCAAGCCTATGTGTAATCCAATTGGTCCAGGCATGTTTCTTCACCGAGTTTGCTTAACACATTCGCTAAGATCTGTTGTGTTCAGGCATTCTTGTTCAGCGCAGCCGTGTAACGTTTGCACAAGCACAATGGCGACTGGATGATTTTGTACACCCCATATGGACTGTCAAATCTTCCGAACTGGCTTCGACCGTTCTTGCTTACACCTTCGTTTTCGATCCCCTCGTATCTAGCTGTGCTATTACAATCGGTTCCTCTGTACATGCAAAGCTGGGCCGACACAATGTCGGGCAGGAATGGGAAGGTTGATTACGGAGCGCCCCAGGAGAGGCCCGAACGGCCCAAAGGCCCAGGAAGGCCCCAATCGGTTTCAAAGAGGTCCCGAAGATCGCCAAGACGGGTCAGCATGCTGCCAAACATGGCCGCAGGGCGGAGTAACGAGCTCGCTCGACGGCCCCAGGGAGGACCGAAGAGGACCCCTCGGAGGCTCTGAAGACGGGCAACTTATAGAGCACCACACGGTTTGTATTCTTATACCGTTTTCTGCTCGGGGCACTCGCCTGCTCGGCCTGCAGAGCCTCCAAGGCGACCGCGCGAGTGGCGCCCCTCGGGCCCCGAGAGATGCCCGGGAGGGGCCCGAAACGGCTCAGGAGGGGCATGAAGCAAAGGATGGGGGCTCAATCTGTTTTATCTTTATTCATATATATATGTGTGTGTATGTGTTGAAGGTTTGCGAGAATTCTGATACGGTTCAAGACGAACCTGTCTGAAGGCTCAGTGAAATTCGAGGTATGCCCAGCCCCCGAAGTGCGATCCGTGCGAGGGGTGCGCGACCATCGGCTCGTGGACACCGGCTCGAGGCCCACGGGCCTGCCGCCCGCCGAAGCGTCCGACACTGTGCTTTCCAGCCCGCTTGGATGGATTACTACGGCCACGGTCAGACAATACATACACATGTGTGTGCACATCCATGTATCGAATACGCCTGTGGTTAATCACAGCCGCCCCCTGCCTTGCAGGAGGCGCCTATGTGGCCAAACGTCTGGACAACATTTGGCCACGCTGTTGGACCATGCGTTCCGCCAGCCGTTGTGGAAGCCCTTCGGGGAAGATGTGAGGGAGGAAGAGGAGGATGAGGAGAGGGAGGAAAAAGAAGGATGAACGACAATGATGAGGAGAAGGATGAGGAGACCTCTGGGGAGCTTCTTGGGTCTTAGGGGCCTCCTGGGAGCTTCATAAGGAACTCTTGGAGGCCTCTTGGGGGAGCCTCCTTAGGCTTCTTAGGGGCCTCCTTGGCCGTCTTGCGGCGTTCCTGGCCCGTCTGACGCCGTCGGAAACCATCTTGGGAGCCTCTCTGGGCTGTCTTGGGGCCCTCTTGGGGCGTTTCAGGGTCGTCTTGAAGGCCATCATTGGCGTCTTGGAGGCCTCTTAGGCCGTCGTGGGGCCCTCCGGGGGCCGTCTTGGGAGCTTCTTGGGCCGTCCAGGGGCCATCTTGGAGGCCTCTTGGGTTTTCTTTGGGCAGTCTTTGGGGCCGTCGGAAGGCCGTTTGGAAGCAAATGCCCAGATCCTTCAAAAGCCTTGAGAAGTAAAACAGTAGGTTTCGCCTCTTCTGGCCTTCCTGGGGGACTCTTGGGCGCCTCTTGGGCCGTCTTGGGCTTTCTTGGACCATCTTGGCGGTCTTGGGGGCATCTTGGGACCGCTTTAGAGGCCATCGTCGGGCTATCTTGGGCCCTTTTAGAACCATCATGCCGTTCTAGGAGACATTTGGGAGGCCACCTTGGGCCATCTTGGCCGTCTCGGAGGCGATTTGGGCAATGGCTCTGAATTTGAGGAGCTTTCCGGGTGGCTGGCGGGCTGGGCCGAAGCCCCAGTGGGAGTCTTGTGGAAAGAACCAGAGCCTTCGAAGACGTTTAGCACGCCATGCCCCCCCCCCGTGATAAATCAACAGGGGGTGGCGGATCCGGCCGGCCCATCCCCTCACCGTGCCCTGGTTGTAGGTCAGAGGCCTCTTGGATACTTGTGGGGACGTTGGCTGGTTGTTCTGATGCGCGAGAGGTGCAGATCCTCCCTGGAGGTAGCTGCCCGCGCTATTTGCGGTGCAGGGCCGCTGTGCCATCTTGCGCAAGACCCGCTTCCTTTCGTCGCCCAAAGGATGGAAGACCAACGCCCTGAGCCTTGCCTGAGGCGTTCGTCGACTACACGTAAGACTGACCCTTCGCCAGAGAGGCCTTTGGTGCGGACCCAGTGTCGAATCTTCGAACACCGCAGAAATAAATTACCCCGAAATTGAATTCTCCATCGAATCTACGTAAATTATGTAGAGTGCTCCGTAGATCAACGGAGCATCCTACGTATTTTCCAACTCCAACGGACATTCAATTTAGCGGTAAATCAAATATGTAGTCGATCCCTTACTCAACGTTGGGGGTCTCCCGATCGCTGCGCGCGATGCGATAGCAGCTTGTATTTGGCTCCCTCGCGCCCCGCCGAAAGCCGCGTACCAAAGGTCACACTTGCCTAGGGTTACTCTTGCGTGTAGCTGAGTTGGACGTCCGGGCACCGCCACCTTTGGGCGCCGACCCTCAGTATTGTTTCACCGACTCCTATCCCCATCGCCATCCTTATTCTGACCCCCACCATCTCAGCACCCCGGTAGGGTATTCACCCCTCGAGACCCGAAGTAAACGGCTTATATCCCCATGTATGGAGCTAGATCGGCAAGTGGGGCCCAGGCCACGCCCATGGGGAAGGGTTCGTTTGAACGATGTTCAGGAAGCGGGGGGGCCGAGGCGGAGCGCGGCCCCCTCGTGGCAGGAGCTGCCACTGGGCCCGATTGGCGGCGTACGCCCCCTCTGCCGCGAGGGCCCGGCAGGGCCACGGCGCCGCGCCTGTGCAGGCACGCGCGGGCCTGGCGGGCCCTGAGATCCGACGTTGAACCCCCTCCTCTTCCTCCTCCCCCTCCTCCTCCTCCTCCTCCTCCTCCTCCCCCTCCTCCTCCTCCTCCTCCTCCTCCTCCTCCTCCTCCTCCTCCTCCACCAGAAGGAAAAGGTCATCGCAAAAGGTCCCGACGAGAGCTCCGCACCTCGTGGTCCTGCGCCACCTTGGCGAGGCGGCTCCTGCCTGCAGAGAGGGCTCCGAGGCCCGAGCGCCCGGGCGACAAAAACGCCCGCGGCCGAAGAAGGCTGCAGCGCCGGGAGCTCCGAGGGGGGTCGGTTCCGGGACCCATCAGGAGGGAACAAAAACACGCAGACACAATGAATTGTCGATCCCCCAAAATATGGAAAGATATGGGAAGTGGGGGGGAAGACAGAACTCCAGAAAATACAGGAAGATACGGGGAATCCTTTCATTTGTGTGTATTTATTTGTGTGTCCCAGGGCCCCTTCAGACCCAGAGATCCGATGTCGTGATTTTTTCAATGCGGGGTCCCTGGAAGTCTCGACCCCTTCCCCAGGGAACCGGTTTTTCATCCAAAGTCGCTTTTTTGACGGCCCCGAGGCCCGGCGAGGGCCCCCAGAGACCGAAGCACACAAGAAACTTCCGTCTTGAATTTCTCCATGCGTTGGATCTCTGGGGATGCTCACTGCCTTTGGCCTTGGACGCCCAGGTACCGCCCCCTTCCGGGCGCCGCCCCCCCCCATGTTTCGGGCCCGATAGCCCCAACCTGCCTAGGAAGGTGCGGATTCACTATCAGAGGCCTATCGCCGATCTGTCGGCGATGTATCGCCGATTCCAGGTTGATGCTTCCCCCCCTATCCCTACCCCCCCTACAGCCGACCCGCAGAGTAAGGATAGGCATCCCTCCCAAGGGCACCCTTGCATCCTTGCTTCCTGGGCCCATCCTTGGACACTTTCGTTGGCCGCGCCCCGCTCGAAACGCTCCGAAATGGGCGTCCAAGGGCCTTGCATCCTCATCGCGCATCCTTACTCTGCGGGTTGACTGTCTTCGTTGGCCTCTCCCGCGATGTATCGCCGACGTATCGCCGATCTATCGGCGATGTATCGCCGATCCCCCCCCCGATCCCTACCACTATCCCCACCCCCCTATCCCTACCCCCTATCCCTACCCCCCTAATATCCCTACCCCCCTACTCGTTGGCCTCTCAAGGTGGCGACGCTTCGGGCCGCCGCGCGCCCCCTCGGCGCCGCCGCGCGCCGGCCTGCCGGGGGTCGGGCCGCCGCCGGCGGGGCGCGCGGCCCGGCCGGCCTCGGGCAGCGGGTGCGGCTTCGGCGGCGCGGCGCCCGGCGCGAGGGTCCTCCGCAGAGGGGAGCTCGGAGGAGGAAAAGGTGCGGCTAGACTTGAGTCGGGCCTGCCTCTCCACAGGAGGAATATTCAGAAATAGTCAAACAATCTGGGGACGATGTTTTGGCAATTGTTTGGCATGTTTGAAGCATTTTTAGGGTATTCTTGATTTTTCGCTCATAATCCCCTTTAGGGGTACACGCCCGACTTAAGACTAGACGTGCGCGTGACCTTTCGCCGGGGTGACCTTTGGTGCGAGCCCAAATTGGGGCCTCCGGCGGCTGCATGCGATGCGGTGGCAGCGGCCTGCGCGCTGGGACTCGGCTCCCTGCGCCTCCCGCTGAGCCGCGCACCGAGGGTCACTCCTGCCTAGTGTCACGCTTGCGTGATACACGCACACACACACACACATATATATATATATATATATATATATATGTATAGATCCGCCACGAGAGCGGGGCGGCGCGCCGCTTGTTCCGGCGCGCGGCCCTGCCTCTGGGGGAGGGCGCCTCGTCCACCAGGGCAGACGCCAGCTCCTGTGCGAGGTCTTCCGTGGGGTTTGCGGCTATGCCGGATTCGTCTATTTGGGCGCTCTCAGAACAAACGCCGCGGCGACACATATAGACACCCATCCGATGCATTGTTCCTGGGCCTCAGGGGAGGGTGGCCGTGTACGTACACGTACAGGGTTCCACTGGGAGCCAGCGGCTTTGTAAACCGCCGTCTTTCCTGAAAGTGCATGCGAAATTCGTCGTAGGGTGTCCATGTACGTGTATATATATATATACATACATATTCAGGACGAAAGTTGTTTGACTCTTTGGCCTGGAACGACAGTTTGGAATCCTGCGCAGACGCACGTGAAATAACCGCCGTCGGATCCAACGAAAATCGCGCGGATCACATTTTGGTCTTGGTTTGTGTTTCGGCAGATCCGATTTCCGTCCGCGCAGATCCGATCTCGGATTTTCTGGATCCGCGTCTGGTCCCATTCTTCACGGCAGATCCGATTTCTATCCTGTCTTAATATTGTATGCTTCAATTCTAACGGGCAACGGGGAGAGATCGGTTCCGCGGACCCCAGAACCCGCCCGTGTTTAGATTCTACGGGGGAGGGGGTTCGGTCATCAGCTTCCCAGGATGGGCCTTGCGCTGTCTCGTGCACTCACATCAACTTTCCGCGCGCGCGCGGGTCCCACTCACCATGAATACATCTCTCTCCTCCTGGTTGCTGCGCGCAGCTCGTCCAGACGCAGTCCGTCTGGCGACGTCGATGTTTTCTCGCGCGCTCATCATCACCATCTTCACATCAAGAGGGAAATCGTTCGTCCTGCGCAAGTGTGGCTGGCGCTCCATGACGCGACCCTGCCCTCGTTCTCGCTTTCTTGTGCCCTCTGGGAGGCCCTCGTGGCCACGGCCGTGTTCGCCTCGAGATCCTGGTCGGAGCGCGCTCCGGGGGAGGTCCGTCGAGTAACGGTATCGGTATCTCATTTGGTTTTCCCAGGAGCGCCCCGCGCCCGTCGACGCAAGCAGGCTCGCCAGGTGCTCATCGTGGACTTGAGGGCCCCCCGTGGCGTCGCAGCCCAAGCCCGTGCCAGCCGCCGGCGGAAGAGAGGGCAACGACGTGTCGAGCTCTTGACGTTTCGCGCATCCTCACCAGCCTATTCAGAAACAGTGCCCAGGGGCCCAGGGGCCAGGAATTGTCAGGAGGAGGGGCGCGGGTAAGTATACAGCGAATCGTGGACCAACGAGACCAACAATGGCGAACTCGGAGACCTTTGGAGCCTCTCGGAGCCATGTTGGAGCTCTCTCGAGAGCCTCTGAGGCGCTCATGGGGCTCTCGGGGGCCGCGGAGCACTCTTGGGGCAACCTCTGAGGCCATCAAGCAACACAGCGGGCAGCACGACTTCGAGTCCCCATGTCGGAGCCCGAGTGGGCCCCTCTTGGGGCTCTCTCAGGCGATCTTGGAGCCATCTTGAGGCCTCAGCGCCCATGGAGAGCGAAATCATGAGAAGGTCAGCAACACTGAAGCACTCTAGACGTTTGAAGGATTTGGGACTCGCAGGGGCATCCTTGGGAGGCAGCTTGGCCACTTGGAGCTGGCTTGACGCGTCTTTCGGCTTCTCGGAAACATGCTGGAGGCCATCCTTGGCTATGTTTTGCCATCTTGGACGCCATCTTGGCCTATGTGGCCAGCTTAGAGCCAACTGAGGCCATTCTGGACACCCTGACCGCTCCTCCCGAAATTCTCCGTACAGGCACAGGGGAGAACTTCCCTTAGCAAGATGGGCGAACCCCTCCAGCCCACTGGCGGCCGTATGACTGGCGTGAGCCTCCCTCCAAGATGGCTCAAAACGCTCCCAAGGCGGCGACAAGAGTAGACAAGCCAAGACAAGACGAGACGATGTAATACCTGACACGACACGGCGACAGCCCGCAGGTCGGCCCAAGATAGCTCCGAGATGCCTCAAGAGGGCCCCAGGAGGCAAACATCAAGAAACAGCATGAGGAGCATCAGCATTTTTGGCCTTTTCGCCTTTTCGTACCCGAAGGGTGCCACAGGCCTCAAGATGGCTTGAACAAGGCCCCAAGAGAAACCCAAGACGGGCCAAGGAGCGGCCCCAGATGGCTTTACAGGCACCCAAGAGGGTCCCAAATAGAGGCCCCGAGAGGGCCCAAGCCGCTCAAAATCGATAAAAGGACAGCAAGGGACAACGTAGTTGGCATCACTCGCGGAGGCGTGGGGATAGGAACAAACGAACGAAGGAAGCCGTGCCCTGACGGCGCATCGGCAGATTGAAAATGCGGATCGCATGCGTGGTGGGATGCAGGAAAACACATGACTGGACAGTGCCTCGGGGTACAGTCGTGGGGATATGGGGAGGGGCAAACCCTTTCCCTGAAGGGGAAGAAGGGGGTTGGAAGAGACAACTCTTCAAACCGCCCACGCCCAGAAGGCTGGTGGGATGATGTGTGCGGTTGACGCGGAGAGAAGTGGCGCTTGGTCCACTGAGGCCAAAAATGTGTGCGTGTCCACGATCTCGCGGGCTGGGCCCCTGGGCCGCAACTCTGCGGGTGCGGGGTGTTTCGTTCGCGGCTGCCTCGCGCGGGATGTATCCGGTGCGACCGCGCATCCGCGGGAGATCGCGCCCCGGAGTCCAGACCGCGACAGGCAGGGCGTGGATGTGGACACGCTCGCCGCTCGTGGTGGCGCGCCCCAGTGTGGCTGCACGGCCTACGACCTCGGCCACAAGCCATGCCCGCACTCCCCGAGGGGCGAGGGTGGATCCGTGCCCAGGCATGCAGCTCCAGGCCTCCTGGATGGAGTCGGAGTAGATGGGGTCGGAGGATCGCGCCGCATCGCCGATGCATCGCCAATGCCGCTCGATGTGGAGCCCGATTCTCTTCACGCGGACGTCGCCGATGCATCGCCGACGTCGCCGGGGCATGGCCGATGCATCGGCGATGCATCGCCGATGTATCGGCGATGCGGCGAGATCCTCTGGCCCCATCCACTCGGACCCCATCTAGGAGGCCTCTACCAGCGGCTCGAGAAGATCGAGACGGACATGGAGGGGGAACAACTGCGTAAACATACTCTTTCGAAGCTCCGCGTGGACTTCTTGTATCTGCGCTGAGGCCCCCTGGCGGCGCCTCTGGCGCCGCCCCTGGCGCGCTCCGCGCGCCAGGGAGGGGGGTCCAGCGCGGATCCAAGAAATCCGTGCGGAGCGCCAACAGTTTATGTTTATGCCGTTTTGTCTTCTAGGGCACTTGTTCCCTCAGATCTGGGCGCTGCGATTTTTCTACCCCGGGCGCTTTCGTCAGGTCTCGGGCCCGGGGGCCCTCACAGATCGATGCGGCTCGAAGAAGGACGCAGAGAGATGGGGTCCAGGGCTCCCGTCATGATTTTTTGCGAGGCTGCAACTTTCGCAACGTCGGATCTCAGGGTTCGCAATCTTGGGCCTCCAGATGCGGATAGTCCACAACTGTCTGGGCGAAGGACCCAACCATAGAGGCGGGTGCGACTCCTGCGAGGGCAGGCCGGACAAAGGAAGGGCAGCTGCCTATGGGGGGTCACGACATGCGTGTGAGAGTGTGCCGAGAGGGGTGCGGGCCTTCGGACGGAGTTCCCTTCTGGGGCCTCGAAGCGCGGGAGGGGCGTGCCGAAGTGGCTCTGCCGCGGGGGCCTTCGATGGAGCTCCCTGTGGGGCCACGGAATGCGTGTGAGGGGTGAGCCGATGTTGGGCGTGGGGCGGCCATGCGCACCCTGCCGCGGGGGCCTTCGGTGGAACTCCCCGTGAGGCCACGGAGTGCGTGTGAGGGGTGTGCCGATGTCGGGTGCGGGGCCGCCATGCGGACCTTGCCGGGGGGGGGGCTTTCGGTGTTCCCTGGGGGGCGGGCTTTTCCCCGCAGGCGCGCGCCTCCACCTCCCCCGCTGTGAATTTCCAGCAACTCCTTTGCGGCCGAGCAAGGGTGGCCGCGGGGGAGTGTTTCGAAACGGCATCCGCCCGCAGAGGGGGGAGTTCCCCCGCGGGCGCGCGCGCGTTTCTCGAATGCAACGCACCTGCCCCTGAGATGGGCGCTGGGCCGCCATGTGGACCTTGCCGCTGGGGCCTTCGGTGGAGCTCCCCATGGGGCCACGAAGCGCGTGAGGGGTGTGCCGACGTGAGCATGCGGAGGGCAGAGGCACGGATGGGAGGAGGGAGGAGCGGTAGGAGAAAGGAGGAAGGAAGGAGGTAGTGACGCGAGGCGCTGTCACTTCAAATCGAGGACCCAACGCCGCAGGATGTGTAGGAACAGACCAGGATGGAAAGGCGGCTCTCGGGCAGGGATAGAGAGGTCCAGGTGGGCTGCGCTGGCGTAGGTTTCGCCAGCGGCTGGTTTCGCCAGGCTGGTTTCGCCAGCGGCTGGTTTCGCCGGGGCCGGTTTCGCCGACGGCTGGTTTCGCCTGCGGCTAGTTTCGCCTGCGGCTGGTTTCGCCGACGGCTGGTTTCGCCAGGCTGATTTCATCGGCCGCTGATTTCGCCGGGGCTGGTTTCGCCGACGGCTGGTTTCGCCAGCACCTGGTTTCGCCGACGGCCAGTTTCGTCGACGGCTGGTTTCGCCCGGCTGATTTCGCCGGGGGGCGCTGGTCGGCGGCGTCGTTGTTGTCATTCATCGTCGTCGTTGTCGTCGTCGTCGTCGTCGTCGTCGTCGTCGGGCGGGACCCTAATGTCGGGCGGGCGGGACCCTAAAGGGACGGCCGCTCGGGCGGGCGGGATCCAAACAGGCAGGTCGGGCGGGCGGGACCCTAGCACGCGGGTCGGGCGGGCGGGACATGAAAGCGGGCGGGCTTGCTAGCGCGCGAACGGGCGGGACCCTAACGGGCGGGTCAGGCGGGCGGAACAGAAAGGGGCAGATCGGGCAATCGGGGCGTCAAAACGAGCGGGCGGGCTTGCCAGCACGCGAACGGGCGGGACCCGAACGGGCGGGTCGGGCTGGCCGGGCCATAACGGGACGGTCAAGGCAGGAACCTAACGGGACGGTCGGGCGGGCCGGACCCTAATGGGCGGGCCGGGCGGGTCGGGACATGAAAGTGCGTGGGGCGGGTTTGGCGGGCGGGGCCCTAACGGGCGGGACGGGACATTGAAGCGGGCGGGCTTGCTAGGACGCGAGCGGGCGGGACTCAACGGGCGGGTAGGGCGGGCGGGGCCCTGAAAGGCGCAGCGGGCGAGCGGAACGTGAACGCAGGCTGGCGGGTCTGCCAGCACGAGAACGGGCGGGACCCGAAGGGGCGGGTCGGGCGGGCGGGAGCCCAACGGCACGGTGAGGCGGGCTTGCCAGCACGCGAGGGGGTGGAACATTAATCTCTAATGGGCGGGTCGGGCGCGCGGAACCCTAGCGGGACGGTCGGGCGGGCGGGACTCTAACAGGCGGGTCGGGCGGGCGGGACATTCAAGTGGGCGGGGGGGCTTGCCAGCGCGCGGAGGGGCGGGACCCGAACGACGATGACGAACGACGACCACCATGAACGACGAACGACGAACCACGAACGACGAACGACGATGACGACGACGACGACGACGGCGACGACGACGACGACGACGACGACGACGACAGCGGCGGCGGCGGCGGCGGCTGCGGCGACGACGACAGCGACAACGACGACGACGACGACGACCACGACGACGACGACGAATACGACGGCGACGATGGCGAACGACGACGGCGACGACGACGAAGAACGACAGCGGCGACGGGCGGGTCGGCGAAACCAGCCGTCGGCGAAACCAATGGGCAGGTCGTCGAAACCATCCATCGACGAAGCCAGCCGCCGGCGAAGCCAGCCGTCGGTTGAACCGGCCGGGCGAAACCAGCCGCCGGCGAAACCCGCCGTGGCCGCCCAGCACGTGCCAGGGATGGTCCACCTCAGGGGATTCTGGCACTGCGTGCTGTACAGGCTGGTCGCTGGCAGGAGGTACCCGCGCCCCCGCAGTTGCGGATGGCAGCGAGGACGGAGGCCGGGGGTCGTCGGCAGCCCTCGGGGCCCGAGAGCAAGGGCACAGGAGCTCACCGTGGGCGACCGTGAGCGCCGCTCTGAGTGTACGCGCACCGCGAGCCCAGCACGGGTGCCTCTCTCGTGGTCTTGCAGTGCAGCGTTGGTGGATCGACGGTGGATCGCGGGTGGGTCGCGGGGTGGGCCACGGGGTGGGTCGCGGGTGGGTCAAGGGCCGGTCGCGGTCACGGGTGGGTCGCGGGAGGGGTCGTAAGTGGGGCGTGGGTGGGTCGCGAGTGGGTGGCGGGGCGGGTCGCAGGTGGGTCGCGGGGCGAAACTGACAAACAGGAACGCGAATCCGCACTGCGGAACTCCACTTCAGCCACGCACCCAAGGACGGAGTAAGATCGTTTGGCCCACTCACTCGGATTTCCAGGCCCTGTCCCAACGTCTCAGCATATTTTAGTCTTCTCATCCTTCAAGAATCACCTGACTCATAACTTGATCGCCTATTATTGGGCGGGATGGACCGAAACAACATCTGCTTGAACGGCCTTGCTACTTCAAGCTTCCACCAACTTATTCCGAACGGTTTGTAAGCAACGTGGATGTTCGTTTCGTGTTCCGTGCAATTGTTCAATACGCCCAGTGTCGAAAAGGCTGCATACCGCGCAGCGAGTTTCCAAAATGATGCCCGATCACTTCACCCTGCTGCCAACGAGCATATACCGTTAGCATGGCTCATCGTATGCGGGATCCACTGCCTTTCACCCGCCCGTGACCTGGCAGGGTGTCTCAACTTGCACACATTGGGCATCTCCAGTTCGCGCATGTGTTGTGGGGGATTGCGCGCCAGGTTTCGGAGAAACGGGGCGGTCTTGGCAATGACGCACCACTGACGAAAGGTTTCGAGAGCCAGCGCATCAGAGGATGCGCCAGCGTGCGCTGCCGAATCGTTGTGTTATCATATGCGCTTCATCAGCAGCGAAGTGATGCAGCACGCGCCGCAGCCATATTTGGTCCTTGATACCCAAGGCCGCGGTCCGTCTTGCGCCAGGCGGGCCCCAGGGTTTAGGTGGAGGGGAACATATTCGGTACTCCAGATTTCGTAATAAAGGGAGGGGGGTCTCATGTCGGGGGGGGGGGTCTCTTCCAGGCTCTCTTGGAGGGCCTGGGGGGTCTGGGGACGATGTTTTGGAGGGTTCCCCCAGGGGGGGGTCTGAAATGGCTTGTCTTGGAGGGTCCAGACCCCCTCCCTTTTATTACGAAATCTGGAGTATGGGATCCAGCGCATAGGTTGAACAGGTGACAGCAGTGTGGCGAGTGCTGCAGGTCGAAAGGCAAAGGCTTCCGTAGAGTGTTCTACAGGCAGTTGCGCATCCGTCGATGAATATTCGAGGCGATCAACTGGCTTGTGAGCACTGCGTGACAATATGATGTTTCATTGGGGTTTTGATGCCTCGCTCTCTTCATTCCTGCGCGGCCCACCGCTCCAAATAGAGATTGAGTCCTTGATTCGGTCGCTCCCAAGTGTGCCACTGCTGGTCATGCAAAGGGCTGTTCATGCTCGTTCGGCCGCAGCTGTCTCTCTCTCTCTCTCTTTCTCTGCTTTCCTCATCTCGTGCCTACGCACCACGCCCCGAACGCCCACCGGAAGGGATGCCGGCCGGCACCTCGCAGAATGGCAAGAACCAAGACGTGTCCAAGCTCATCGTAGACACTTTCAAGAAGTTCGACAAGAATGGCGCCGCCTCTTCCCCACTCTCCTGGGGAGGAAGAGGAGCAGGAGGAGTTCGAGGTGGACGAGCCGTCGAAGGAGGGGGAGGAGGATGAGGAGTAGGTGGACGGCAATCTACATGTAAATATACGTGCGCCGCTGGTGACCCGTGGAGCGTTGCTCCAAGGGCCACCTGGCCCTAGTCTGATCCACCCCGCAGGGCCGACCCGCCCTGCGGGGTGAGAGGCTACGAGCGACGTTCTTTTCTCAGGAGGGGAAAAAACACACAGACACAATTAATCGTCCACTCCCAGGAAAATATGTGGGAAAATATGGGAAGTGGGGGGGCAATCAGAAACCCAGAAAATATGGAAAAATATAGGGAATCCTCTTATTCCCTATCTAGGCTCTGCCTAGAAGGGTTCTTACCCTGTTTGCTTAAAGGGGCCGGGCAGTGCTCCCCGCCCCGGGCGGTTCCCCCAGGATCCGCCCCGCGGTTCCCCCAGTGACGTTCCTTTAGCTTAGCGTTGCTTATCTCATCTTAGCTTAGCTTATTTCATCTTAGCTTCGCTTTGCTTAGCTTAGCTGAGCCTAGCCTAGCTTAGCTTAGCTTAGCTTAGCTCAGCTTAGCTTAGCTTAGCTTAGCGCAGCGCAGCATTAGCATATCATAACATATCATTACATAGCATAGCATATCATAGCATAGCACAGCGCAGCATAGCATGGCGCAGCATAGCATAGCATAGCATAGCATAGCAAATCATAGCATAGCATATCATAGCATAGCATAGCATAGCATGGCATAGCGCAGCATGTCATAGCATAGCATCGCATATCATAGCTTAGCTTAGCTTAGCTTAGCACAGCGCAGCATAGCATAGCATATCATATCATATCATATCATATCATAGCACATCATTGCAAAGGCAATATCAAAATCAAAGGCAATGCAAAGCAAACACACAACCAATGCGAACGTGTAGATGTAGATGTAGATGTAGATATAGATGTAGGTGTAGGTGTAGATGTGGATGTAGGTGTACATGTAGCTTTATATGTAGGTGTAGATGTAGGTGTAGACGTAGATGTAGCTGTAGATGTGAGTATCGTTGTTGATGTTGATGTAGATGTAGATGCAGGTGTAGATGTACATGTAGCTGTCGGTGTAGATGTAGATGCTGCTTTCCTAAATGCTCCAACTCCTAGGTAGGGTCGCACTGGGATAAGTTGTGTGTATTTATTTGAATGTCCCAGGGCCCCTTCATTTTCAGCCATCAGGAATCAGGAGTCGGGTGGATGGGGGTGGGTGTGGAGTGTGGGTGGCAAGTGGAGAGGCTGGAGTATCCGTTCTAGTCTGAGGGGCAGCGCTGATCCGCAGAGGGAGAAGGGGGCGGATGCGGAGGATGACGGGGAGTCTCAGATCTGTTCCACGGCGGCTGCTTTTCGTCTATTCGATGACAGTCGACCAGATCTTCGCGCTTGTGTATTCCACTGATGCCATTGATTGCGACCCAATCGGCGATTCGATTGGTACGCCTACATACGCTGTGCATTGCTAGTTGGAAAGCGAAGCTGTTCTGCGGCGCTGCTGGCCGCCGCCAGCGCCGGCTCCAGCGCGAAGGGGGGGTGGGTTTGAACCCCCCCCCCTGGGCGCCACGGGGGGGGGGGTGTTCGAACCCACCCGCCTGTTGAGCTGCCTCTGGTCATCGTCGCTAAGTCCCCGCCGTCGGCTGCTGGCGGCCGCCAGCGCCGGCGCTGGCGCCGAATGGGGGGGGGGGAGGAACCCCCCCCACCCCGGGAGGGGGGGGGGGATTCAGGAGGGGGGGGGATGGGGGGGAGGGGGGACCCCCCGGTTTTGATTGACGGCGCCGAGTGTTGGGGGGGGGCCCACCCCCCTGGTATGAAACGCAACGCCGAATTTTCCCCAGGCAAGCGCCCGTGAAACGCGTTCTTTCGGTTTTCGACATGTCTGGCCTCCCGGAGCCTTCTCGGAGGGTCGAAATCGGGAAGACATCGAACCTAGACGTTCGAACCTCGCCGCCCCCCCTACAGGCGTGCGACGGCTTCCGGTCGAGGGTGGTGGAGGAGGAGGACGAGGAAATAGGGGGTGAGGAGGAGGAGGACGATGAGCAGGAGCAGGAGGAGGAGCAAAGAGTGAGCAGGGAGAATGGAAAGGAAAAGCCACGGAGGGAACCGGGGGCTGGGTGGGTTCTCCACCCACCTCCAAGGCGTGAGCGGGCCCGCGCGCGCGGTGTTCTTAGGGGCGTTTGAGGCACTGACTGGCGTTCCCACTGAGCTAAAGCCAGAGCCAAAAGAGGAGGAGGAGGAGGAGGAGGAGGAGGAGAAAAATAAGGAGGAGGACCACAGCAACAGCGAGGACCGAGGGACAAGGACAGGAGAGGGCCGAGGTGGACGGAGGCTCCGCAGAACCCACATGCGTGAACATTCGCAGTGTCGCCCATGACGCAAGTGAAAACGAGAGCCATGACCGAGTTGCGACTAGAACCTAAACGCGCGCGTAGCGCGCGTGGTTTCAGTGTAAATAAAGATATGTGCGAAGGTCTAGAAACTTATCAGCAATCGGCGAGCGATTGCAGCCAGAGAAGGACTGGCACCTACACCAGGACAGTGTCGCCGACTGGTATACTGAGACTAGTTTCGGCATCTCAAGGTGTTGCCCAAGTTGTGCCCCAAGCGTGCCATCGTGGTAGGATTTGCTAGCTCCCGCGCCTGTTGACTTCGGAGAGGTGTCGACGATATTCAGGTGACGCCTCCCAGGTCAGAAACTGTTCGACGAAAGACACCTCACTTGGCGGGCGAGGAGAAGGAGGGGGAGGAAGAGGAGTGAGGCGGGGAGGACATCTTAATCTAGAGAAGGCGGGGGAGAGGAGAAAACGAAGAGGGAGGAGGGAGGCGGGAGCAGATAGAAGGGAGGATGTAGCATGGGAGATAGAGAAATAGAAAGAGAGAGAGAGAGAGAGATAGAAACAACACATGAGAAAGAGAAAGAGAGAGAGAGAGAGAGAAAACAACAAGAGAGAGAGATGGAGAGATAATGAAAGTGAGACGGCGAGAGAGAGAGAGAGAGAGAAACAAAACCACGAGAGAGAGAGAGAGGAGAGAGAGCGCCACGCTCGTCCCTCCTCCTTTCCTTCCCCTTCCCAATTGCCTGTCGATGACGGCTCTACCTCGTGAGCCAGCCTGCACCCTTGACCTCTTCAGCCGTGTGTGCCGTGCGCTCCTCCGCGCTGGGCTCCTCCCCCCCGTCCCCGCCGCTCCCTCGGTGACGGCCTGATCAGCAGAGACGAGCTCGTGATGGTGTTCAAGGCGCTGGCCGGCAGCAAGTTTGAGGACAAGGATTTCCGCCTCGTCCGCC